AGCAGGACAGCGAATCCTTGGCAAGGTCTTTCATTAATTAACAGGACAGCCAGCCTTGTCAAACTGCAGAATGAATTAATGCTCTCCAAAAGACTTCACACCCTGGTGGCGTGAATGCTCTAGGCTGCTTTTTATTCTCTTTTCATGTTCATCTACTGCCACATCTCTAAATCTGGAAGGTGGTATGGAAAGCTACTCCTTTATTTAGGTTTTCTTCCCGTCTCTGGAAGCTGGCACCAGAAGTCACGCAGGCATATCCGGTGCGTACCCCAGCCCGTGCAGGGTGCCCTGTTTTTCCAGCGCCCTCTGGACACTGAGCTGTTGGTCGGTTGGTGTTACAGTAGGTGCTGCAGTGGGATAAAAGCTGACTAGCACGGCCATCCTCAAGGTGGGTGTTTACAGCTGAGGTCTGAGGTGAGCGTGCGCGTCGTCAGTTAGAGATGAGCCTTGTGAGACAGACCATACCTACTCACTTTTTCTGCAGCTGTCAGATGATTGTACTTGTGAAAGAAAAATACTTAAGTGGTCACAAATTTACCATAGGCTAAAACTTTACAAGCTGTTTTGCCTTTCATTTCATGCTAACCTGCATGCTTTGGAGTCTTTAAGTGTAGGAAATGACAGAAAACGATTTGCGTTCCCCATGATAATATTAGCTGACAACTGTCTTCTGCTCACAGTGGAGGTTTTACGTGTAATCATCTGGTTGTATAAACTAATTTCCCTTCTGCACCAAAACTACTTTGCTTTCTGCTGCAAGGTGCAGTATGGGGAAAGCAAAATCTGATGGTACTTTCCTGGTCGGTGGCTGATGTGACATCAGATGTCGTTTTTGGTTTGTGGAGAGACCCTGTCGTGGGGGCTGTTTCCCAGCAGTAGGAAGTGGATTGCGAGGCCAACAGAGGAGGGGGGCGTTGATATTTGACCTGTGAAGCAGCCCAGGCACCTCTAGACTGAAGGGTCCTTTGTGTTTCTTGGCTGTCCATGTTTGTAACTCGGACTTGGACATATGAGAGCACGGGACAGAGGGAAACCCTTTCTGTGTAGGGCTGGTACTTCCCTACGTACCTTCAGCTGTCTGGTTGAAGTAACTCACACTGGTGTTCGTTGCCCTGAAATGCATTACCTTAATTTACCTTAAATTACCTTAAATTAAGGCAGGCTGCCACCCACACGTGTGGAGGTCGTCCTCGGGCAGGCTGCGGTGGGAGCATGGAGCTTTCCTGCTCTCCTGCCTGCTCCTGCCAGTGAAAGGCAGGAGCATTTGTGGTTCCACTGACTCCTCTTCCGAGCTGTTGCTGGTTGGCTGTGTGTGCTGGTGGAGGGCCAACTCATTTTGGCCAGGCTTGGGTTTGTAACCGCTCTGGGAATGTTGTTCCACAGCAGCTTTTCTAGCAGTTACCTGTACAAAATTGACTCTCACCTTTCCAGTCCTAGGTCTGTTTTACTGGTGCCTTCTCTTCCCTCCTGCCCCTTCCCGCTTGTGCTAACGCTGGCGGGGCTAAGCCGGGATATGCCGAAGCAGTCTGATGTAAACACAGCCGTGGCAGCAGTGGGAAAGAGGGCAAGCTGCGTGGCGGGCGAGAGCGTGACCTTCCGGGGAGATCTCTCTCTCCGAGAGAGAGCCGTGCTGCTTTCCGAGGTAGGTGTATGTGCTGCAGGGCAGCTAACACCCCCTTTCCTCCTCCGCTCAGCGGTCGGGAAAGGGGTGACGTTACGCTCACCGTCTTGCTGTCGGACCAAACTGGGAGCCCTAGGTTAGGTACCTTTTCCTTGCTTACCTTACGCTCGGGAACATCTCTCCCGAGGCAGCGAACGTTGTGCTTGGCTGCGGCAAGTTGGTTTTTAACCCATCGAGCAACGTGCCCTTTGGGCATGTTCAGTGGTTTTACCTGCTGGTGTAATGGGACCGGGAGTTCTTTGGCTCTTGCTTGGTGGTCTGGTTTTCTTCCCTTCTTGAGATTTTAATTAGAAAAATATTAGTCTTTTTATAATCTAATAGTGAAGAATGTCAAATTGAAGATTTACATTGAAAATGGGATTTTCCTTCTCTCTTGCAGTTCCTAGTGGCATGTTCTGTTTTAAGAAATCAATGAGCCTTTTTTTTTTCCCCCTCCCTTTGGCACAATGTGGTTTTTCTTGTAGTATTCTTTCGCTTCCTGTGAGCAGGAGGCAGAGAGAAACATGTTCAAGGGGTATGCGTCCCTGCCACCTCCCTCCCTTCACCCCTCTCCCCTCTTTCTCCCTTCCCAACCCGAATGAAACCCGTGCCGCAGCATATGCGCCAGCCCGTGATGCTGGGGTGGCTGGAAGAAGCAGCACCAGAAGACGGCCTCTTCGGGTGTGTGTTCACGTCGAAGCCCTTTGCAGTTTGGAGGCCTGTGCTTTGCTGAGGGATGTGGCTGAACACATTCACCCAGTTCTGCCAGCAGCAGCTTGCAGCGGGGAAGGTGTAAGCTGGTTGGGCTCTCCTCGTGAAGAGCCGCGTTCTGCGTGTTCAATCTGAAGTTCAAGTTGCGTTTGACCAGGTTGGAAAAAAAAAATGCCTTAAATCTCTGTTTGCATGATAAGATGCTGAAAAAAATCCTTCCAAGGCTGTGGTTTGTGGCTTCCTGCGGGTGTTGCCTGGCCGTAATCTGTGTGTTGTGTTGCAAGGACTGCCATGAGTTTGGAGGAGACGGTGGAAGTCTTTCTGGGTAGGGCTCTTTGGGTAGAGAACTACACTGAGCTAACGTCTTTCGAGCTGTAGCTGCTTGTTGCTTGTGGAGAAGTTTCCTTTGCCTGCGCTCTTCGTCCAGCAGCGCTTTGTTTTGACGCTTCGTGTCTGACTGTGGCCAATAGTCACAGCCACAGCCAGCATCCAGAAATGGAAGGGGCTACAAGGAAGCTGGAGGCGTCTTTTACAAGGGCCTGTAGTGACAGGACAAGGGGTAACAGGTTTAAATTGAAAGCGGGGAGGTTTAGATTGGATATCAGGAAGAAGTTCTTCCCAGAGAGGATGGTGAGGCACTGGAATAGGTTGCCCAGAGAAGCTGTGGATGCCCCATCCCTGGAAGCGTTCATGGCCAGGCTGGATGAGGCTTGGAGCAACCTGGTCTAGTGGAAGGTGTCCCTGTCCATGGCAGGGGGGTTGGAACTGGATGGTCTGTAAGGTCCCTTCCAACCCAAACCATGCTGTGATTCTGTGGGCGCTGGCTTTCCCTGCCAGGTGCTGTTGCGTTCCCACTCGTGTTCCTTCGGAGGCCCAGAGAGGGATTTCAGGTCTACCTGATGACACATGCTCTTTGTCAAGCTGATTGACCAGCTTCAACCTCCCAGCATTCCCTCCTGGCATAAAAAGGGCAGATTAAAGCCGTGCCAAACACTTCTGGGCGTACTTGCGTTATCTTTGTTCGGGTCTGCGATTTCTGCGTTTCTGATGTTCCTGGGCTGACGTTTGCTGCCCTTCCTCATGAATCGGTTGACACCACCAGCATTAACGGCCTGTCCACGCCCTTTGACAGGGCTGTTACGTACAGTTCAGTTGTCTGTAAAAAGGCACCCGAGGGTTCCGTTGCTCCCAGGTGGATTTAAACGGCGATTTTCCATCAGCATGCTCCAGAACTTGCTCTTACAGGGGGGTTGCCTCCCGGCGGTAAGGCGCGTTGGTTGTTGGCCGCCGCACACAGGTTGTGTTCCGCGTGCTTCGCTGCTTTCACGGGCGCGTTTGTAAATATGACCCTGTTTACGTGCTCGTCTGCGCCAGCTCGTACCGGCTTCCACCTTCGCTGGGGCTGGGGCCTGTACGTCGCAGGAACCGGCGGCTGGTTCTGGCACGCGTTTTAGTAAATGAACCTCCCTGCGGAAGCGCCTGGCTGACCGGATGTCTGTTCCTGCCGGAACACTGAGCCCAGTCGCTGGCTCAACGGGCTCGAGCGCAAGCGGTTTTGTTTCGGGGGCAAGGTGTCGCTTGGGCTGTGTTTCGCCAGGTACCGAACGCGTCAGAAAAGCGTAAGATGTGGCAGTTTGCGGCGGTTTTCCTAAACCGCGTGGGAACGGAGAGCAGAGCCTTGTGTGGGAACGGGAAGACACGTGTCATTTCAGGAACTTGGCACTTAATTTTTATCCCTCCTCAGTTTTTAGTGTCGCTACTCCCTTCTTGTCTAACCCCTTTTTAGTCAAGCTCGTGAAACGGAGGTGGGTGGCCCCGCATCCCAAGGGGAAGAGGGGTAGCAGGGATGTGCT